AGTGTGTTAGTAAGCCGTATCGAAGGATTGAAGATAAGTGGAAAAAAAAAAATGTTCGATATTTACCCCTTGCCAATATGTAACCAACCTCGAAGAAAAGTTAAATCCCGAACAATGAAAATGACTAGACAAAGACCTTGACGAAAGACTTGGTGTCCCTATTGTAGAAAAGAAAACCATGATGTTAGTAGCTGCCAAAGATAAGAACAATGCAGCTAGAAAGTTTGGAGTTGTTGAATACACTTACCCAGGAACAAATCATGGAGGTCCAGGAAATGGTTGATGAAACCATAAAAGACCGTAGTCTTTATGACTCACAAGCCCTAGAATATTTTTTTAAAATATTAACAGATGTTAGCCAGGATAACAACCCCGATGGCAATGACGAAGGAGAAGATAATATTGTGTACCTGCCCTCGTATATCCAATTGAATCCACCTCTAGTACCTTCTGTAGTCCCCATCCCGAAAGTTCTCCTGAAGTCTCAACAACCAAGACCTACCATAACTAAAGTATTCAACGCCTACTATGACGAATCCACAGAAGAACCCTTGAAAGTATTGCCTTCACCTCTAAGGAAGAAGAATGAGAAACCGAATTGGAAGTTCTTCTTCAAAAGCTCATCGCCGAATGTGAAGCTGTCGCACAAAAATGGGCCCCCGAAAAAGAAAAAGGCAAAAAAATGGAAGTCGAGAAAAAGAAAGTTAGTGACGTTAAGGCGACAAAGAAAGAAGCTGAAGAAAAAAATGACGACTTACCCGACAATCGCATAAAGGTTGCTAGAAGGAAAACGTATCCGCGAGAATCAGAAAAATCGTAGGTAAAACCGAAGATGAAGACGACGACAACGAAGCTGACAAAGATGAAGAAGATAACAATGACGACGATAAGACGATTGTAGACGAAAAAGACGATGAAAAGAAAGAAGACGTAGAAGAACTTACCAAAAAAAGTAAAGAACTGAATTATGCCTGCGAATCGTGAATAAAGAAAGTTGAAGGATTTAGAAGTAGGGTCAGATGGAGTAGAGGAGCAAAAGAAACTACCGAAAATGAACCTGCTGAGGCCAAAGAAGATACGACGAATATCGGTAAATATTACCGAAACGAAGGTGGAGTTAAAAAGAATGAAAATAAAGCCTTCACCTATCATCAAAGATCTGGCGAGTCAGGTGATGCAGATGCAACGTACCTGGTTGGAGATCGCTATAAAAATGGAGCCGGAGCCGAAAAAAACGAAGTATGGAAATGGTGTTAGAAACATGCGGAAGATGGTGATTCGAAAGAACAATTCGATCCTGGTGGGTTTGACTGAAGCAGAATAATAGTGGAAAAGGATTTGAAAAAAGCTAATGAAAAGTGGAAGAAAAAAGTTAGAGTATTTTTAGGCGAGAACGAGGGTGATTTTGATAAAAATAAGAGGGAAGAATTCATACCACCTCGAGTCCTGATGTTCGACGCTGCCCCTGGTCAAGTCGTAGAAGGTCCGTGGAATTAGATAAAGAAGAAAAGAAGAGACCCCAGAACGTATACATCACGGAAGTCTTGATTTGAAAATGCTCTAGAAAGAAAGAAAAGGAAGGCACAAGGCTGAAGAGGTTAAGAAACAGCCAATGCATGCCTAAAAACCCGACGAAAGAACTTGCCCTATACTTACCACAGTGGAATAAAACTCGCGTATATGACTCTGGGCTTACCACTGTGAAAAAAAAAAAAAAAAGGGCTACTCCGTGAACTGGTTACGCCTCGCTATTATATTACCGCTCTTAGGGTTTACGATATCTTCATCGTTATCGGTATGGCTCAAATCTATCGAACGGCCATAGTCACCTATTATGATATTGAAGACTTAAGAGTTGCAGAAGTAAGGCAAATTATTGATAACAGCTCATGAAACTCGCCTTTAAACGAGGGCGAAATGTGAGGTACGAAACCTGTGAACGGTACGAGCTACGCCAAGCTCACGATGTTCACAGTTATGACGATCTAATGCCTAAAATAGAGTTGCTGGCAGTATAATGGGGAAATCGGGTATAACAGAGAAAACTGGTAAATTCTCTAAAGATAGTTTATTAACTTTCATGAGTAGAAGGGTTTTTTATAGTTTAAAGGTTTAATTAGTTTTGAGGGTTTTAGTAAATAAAATATGTAAACAGGATTTATTAATTATAATAAGTCCTAAGTAAAGTTTATTATAAATAAAGATGTTATCACCCCAAGAAAAATTATGTTTCGTTTGCTTTACTAATAACCAAGTCTCAAAGTTATCAAATACATTGCCTATAACATTGTATAAAAATACTATTGCGCAAATATACTTTTGAACCCTAAAGTTATAATTTGTTATTCGTTAAGCTCTTGTTCACATGACCTAGCGTTGCTGACTCAGAGTAACCAAAGCTTTAAATCACCTATCTCAGCGAACTTTTGATAATATTTGAGTTCTTAGTGACATGACGTTGAACATCTCTCACGTTCATAGTTAGCTTCATAAAAATTGAATATTGTCGCGAAATAACCTTACTTTTTTTGTTTAATACGCATTTTCAAACCAAAATAAAAGCTTAATGTAAAAAATGATTCGTCTATTTGGTCCTCTTTCCGTTCCTGTGATCAATACAGTATTTAAAAAAAAATCTCAATCATAAATTATACGTATTGTTATAGGCGGAATAGCTGCGACTCGGTCGCTCCACAATTCAAAAACTCGCATAACCTGTGGGTAGTAACCTTACGAAAGAGGTGTGTTAGATTTGGCTGGTAGGTGATTTAAAGCTTTGGTTACTCTGAGTCAGCAACGCTAGGTCATGTGAACAAGAGCTTAACGAATAACAAATTATAACTTTAGGGTTCAAAAGTATATTTGCGCAATAGTATTTTTATACAATGTTATAGGCAATGTATTTGATAACTTTGAGACTTGGTTATTAGTAAAGCAAACGAAACATAATTTTTCTTGGGGTGATAACATCTTTATTTATAATAAACTTTACTTAGGACTTATTATAATTAATAAATCCTGTTTACATATTTTATTTACTAAAACCCTCAAAACTAATTAAACCTTTAAACTATAAAAAACCCTTCTACTCATGAAAGTTAATAAACTATCTTTAGAGAATTTACCAGTTTTCTCTGTTATACCCGATTTCCCCATTATACTGCCAGCAACTCTATTTTAGGCATTAGATCGTCATAACTGTGAACATCGTGAGCTTGGCGTAGCTCGTACCGTTCACAGGTTTCGTACCTCACATTTCGCCCTCGTTTAAAGGCGAGTTTCATGAGCTGTTATCAATAATTTGCCTTACTTCTGCAACTCTTAAGTCTTCAATATCATAATAGGTGACTATGGCCGTTCGATAGATTTGAGCCATACCGATAACGATGAAGATATCGTAAACCCTAAGAGCGGTAATATAATAGCGAGGCGTAACCAGTTCACGGAGTAGCCCTTTTTTTTTTTTTTTTCACAGTGGTAAGCCCAGAGTCATATACGCGAGTTTTATTCCACTGTGGTAAGTATAGGGCAAGTTCTTTCGTCGGGTTTTTAGGCATGCATTGGCTGTTTCTTAACCTCTTCAGCCTTGTGCCTTCCTTTTCTTTCTTTCTAGAGCATTTTCAAATCAAGACTTCCGTGATGTATACGTTCTGGGGTCTCTTCTTTTCTTCTTTATCTAATTCCACGGACCTTCTACGACTTGACCAGGGGCAGCGTCGAACATCAGGACTCGAGGTGGTATGAATTCTTCCCTCTTATTTTTATCAAAATCACCCTCGTTCTCGCCTAAAAATACTCTAACTTTTTTCTTCCACTTTTCATTAGCTTTTTTCAAATCCTTTTCCACTATTATTCTGCTTCAGTCAAACCCACCAGGATCGAATTGTTCTTTCGAATCACCATCTTCCGCATGTTTCTAACACCATTTCCATACTTCGTTTTTTTCGGCTCCGGCTCCATTTTTATAGCGATCTCCAACCAGGTACGTTGCATCTGCATCACCTGACTCGCCAGATCTTTGATGATAGGTGAAGGCTTTATTTTCATTCTTTTTAACTCCACCTTCGTTTCGGTAATATTTACCGATATTCGTCGTATCTTCTTTGGCCTCAGCAGGTTCATTTTCGGTAGTTTCTTTTGCTCCTCTACTCCATCTGACCCTACTTCTAAATCCTTCAACTTTCTTTATTCACGATTCGCAGGCATAATTCAGTTCTTTACTTTTTTTGGTAAGTTCTTCTACGTCTTCTTTCTTTTCATCGTCTTTTTCGTCTACAATCGTCTTATCGTCGTCATTGTTATCTTCTTCATCTTTGTCAGCTTCGTTGTCGTCGTCTTCATCTTCGGTTTTACCTACGATTTTTCTGATTCTCGCGGATACGTTTTCCTTCTAGCAACCTTTATGCGATTGTCGGGTAAGTCGTCATTTTTTTCTTCAGCTTCTTTCTTTGTCGCCTTAACGTCACTAACTTTCTTTTTCTCGACTTCCATTTTTTTGCCTTTTTCTTTTTCGGGGGCCCATTTTTGTGCGACAGCTTCACATTCGGCGATGAGCTTTTGAAGAAGAACTTCCAATTCGGTTTCTCATTCTTCTTCCTTAGAGGTGAAGGCAATACTTTCAAGGGTTCTTCTGTGGATTCGTCATAGTAGGCGTTGAATACTTTAGTTATGGTAGGTCTTGGTTGTTGAGACTTCAGGAGAACTTTCGGGATGGGGACTACAGAAGGTACTAGAGGTGGATTCAATTGGATATACGAGGGCAGGTACACAATATTATCTTCTCCTTCGTCATTGCCATCGGGGTTGTTATCCTGGCTAACATCTGTTAATATTTTAAAAAAATATTCTAGGGCTTGTGAGTCATAAAGACTACGGTCTTTTATGGTTTCATCAACCATTTCCTGGACCTCCATGATTTGTTCCTGGGTAAGTGTATTCAACAACTCCAAACTTTCTAGCTGCATTGTTCTTATCTTTGGCAGCTACTAACATCATGGTTTTCTTTTCTACAATAGGGACACCAAGTCTTTCGTCAAGGTCTTTGTCTAGTCATTTTCATTGTTCGGGATTTAACTTTTCTTCGAGGTTGGTTACATATTGGCAAGGGGTAAATATCGAACATTTTTTTTTTTCCACTTATCTTCAATCCTTCGATACGGCTTACTAACACACT